TCAGTTATGCTGATGTAAACTCTTCTGCAAAGCTGTACTGTGAACGGGATCCTGCTTTGTTGGGGTTCTTTGTTTGGTTTTGTTTGTTGTTTGTTTGTTTTTTTTTTTAATGAAATTTGTGGAGTGTGGGGGTTTTGATTTTTTTTATTTATTTATTTTTTTAGTCGAAGTTAGTTTCTTGACCTGCCTCACAATACTGCCTTCCTGAACAATGGTGACAACATAACTGAAAGGGCAATATTTTGTGATATAGGTTGTGGCAGGGGTGGGAAAGGGAAGGCAGCTTCTTTTGCCCATCCCACTAGGAGGACCCTGTGAGGTCAAGGCACTGTGTGGCAAGTGGAGAGACATTGAATAAAAGAAGTCTTTCCTCTTGTACTCAAAATTTGTTTCTTGAGAGTACTTTGCTTAGTGGTCAGAAGAGAATCATATTCAGTTGTCAGCTCTGATATTTGAGGCTTTCTGGGTGCCCACAATATGATGGGTCATTGGCTGATGTGCTGTGTACATCACAGAGAGAATTCAGCTACATCTTGGGGCTACTGGCTGCAAATTTGTGAAAGCACTTCATGCTGCTTAAATTTTTGAGATTGGTCTTTTTTTTTTTTTTTTGAGCAATTTCCCACTTACAGTACTTGGTGTTAATTTTAAAACATCTCTATACACCCACTTGTGCTGTACTTGAACCATAAGATCTTTCTTTCTTCTGTTTCTTGGTAACATAATGTTTTGGTTTTTGCTTAAGCCTGGAGATTAGGCAGTTGTCAGTTTTTGTTTTGCCTGTCTCAGTGTCTGTTTCCTAGGGACAAAGTCATCCTGCAGATGGTTACTCCGTTTCCATCACCTAACCCTGCAGCATCCATTCAGTCTTATTCAGAAAGTAGTGCTGTACGGTTCTGTTTCTCATTATTTTTTCCCCAGTGTGAGGAGCACGCCTTCTTAAGCTTTGCATGAAATGCTTACATACAGATCTTTTTTTTTTTATTACAGCCTTACATTCTGTCCCCAGACACCATATTGTCTACAGTGGTTTGGATCAGGAAGATTAGCTGACTGCTCCTGTAGTTTTTGTAAATTCTGTTTCTTAATTAGTGACTTACAGGCAGTTTTTGAATAACCTGAAATACTATACTATGGGCACTTTGCTCTCAGATTACCATTATTGCTTCTTATTCTCTTTTTGATTTTCCTCCTTTTCCTTCCCTTCCCTTCCCTCATCCATCTTCCCTGCAAGGACAAAAATTGCAAGTATTTCTTCTGAAATATTAATTCACATAAAAAGAATGACTTAAAAATGCTAAGCACCAAAGTGTTTGTGTTGCCTTTGCTGGTGTCCATTTGATTACTCACTGAAATAAAATTGAAAAGGGGCAGGAAGGTGAACTGGTAACTGCTGTCTTTTTTTAAATTGCTAATCCTCTCTTTCTTTTCCTGGGAACTTAACATCTGGGGAAAAGAGTAGATTTTTAGACTTTAGAGGAGACGCTTGCCAAGTCTTTTGGAAAAGAGAAGGGTTGATATTATGATCTGCTGAAAACTGCTTTTACACTCTTTCACAGTTTAATCCCTCTGATATTTGCTGCTCACTATGCGACCCTATTTCCCTTTAACATTCAAATGAATCATTACATACCTGTCAGACTTCAGGCTTTGGAGCAAATGCTGAAAGGAAAAGCATCTCAGCCTCCAAATTAACAGCCATACTTACCATTTATGGAATGCTTGAAATTCCTAGAAAAGCTGCCTTACTTGAATTTTAGTATGATTATGCTTGATATTTTTGTTCAGAGTGCTTGAATCAATTTGCAGATAAATCATTAAAATTTCTCTTTGCTGTTTTCTCTTTGTCTGCCAAGGAAGCAGGTGGATATTCCCACTCAGCAAAATGGAAATAATCTTAAATATGGAGTGATAATCTGAACAACTTGAAGTTAATTTGTATATCAGCGATTTGAGTCCTTAAGCTGTGCTTTTGATTTGCTATTTTATGAAAAAATTACAACTAACTTGTTTCTGTTTAAACAGCTAAGTTTCAGCTCTCAGCAAATACATCCAGGTGTTTATTTTCTCTGCCTGGTGCTTTGAAATGGATCTTGGGAATCTGAAGAGGAAGAACCTGTTTTATTCTGAAAACCTTATTTTCAGGCAAAATAATGATTTGATTTTTCATCTGTGGAAATGACTGACAGAAACTGTGCTGGGAAGTCAGTTAAGATCTGCACAAAGAATGTTTTATCAGTAGGGGAATGTAAGCATCCCTAAATCAAGGTGTGTTTTTAGGAAATGTAGCATTTTCATTTACATGCAGTGCTGATGCTTCTTCCTTTGGAGTTAATGGTCATGAGTGGCTGCTTCCTTTGTCTTTTGGTAATTGAGCAGTTACTAATAAAGCATTACGAGTTTAAGACAGGGACAGAACTACTGTCCTGTTTAATGATTAAACTTATAAATGGTGTGAACTCTCACCTAGGTTTTGTATTCAAAACTTAGCTTTAAAGTCTGAATGCCCTTACTCATAATAGCTTGGTAATTGTCCAAAGGACTAAGTGTGCTTATTGCTATGTCCTGATTTGTGCTTTTCTTTTATAAGATGTTGTAATAGATGGCCAGTTGGTTAATGATCAACACATTTCTGTGTATTTTGTAAGGCAGATATGAAATTATTTTTTTCTACAAGCTTTTTAAGTCTAACTGAAGAAAATATTAGTGCCTCTGGAGAACGACTGTTAATCCTTTAATTTTTGGAGAATTTGGTGTCTGTTGGTATGCTGGCAAGTGAGTACTTCAAACACAGTAATTCAGTACCATGCTTGTAATGTGTTCCTGCAGAGATCTCAGGTGTGGATCAGCAGGATATGCAGTATCCCAAAGAACAGAAGTGTGGAGAACATGTACCACTTTTTGGGTTTGACTGAGCCTTGGGGCTAAGAATGTGCAACCTGAACATAGTTAAGGAACTTGTTCATACAATTATAACACACGCTAAAATTTCTATAATCTTGATTTGCCAGGCTTGGCTGCTGTCTTGATCAGTAACTTTTGCTGAAGCTGGTGTGAGTTGAAGTATGCTTTGTACAGTATGAATATGCACCTCTTCTGACCCAGATCTTAGATCTCACTTGTGCAGCCATGGAGATCAAGTGAGACAAAAAAAGGAGAAAGGACCTCTTAGGAAGCCTTCAGGTTATGTCTGACATTAAGGTAGGCTTGTGCTTGTTTTTTAAAATTGCCACTGTTCAACTGTAATACATATGTTTATATCCATTTCTATCACATATCTCGTGATTTAATATTTTTTCTTCCCATTAATTTTACTGAGGAAAAATTGTATATAGGTGGTGGACTTTGATTTTGAATAGAAACTGTTCTAGAAGCAGTTATTATCTGCAGTTGTAAACATTTAGATTCCTGTCCATCAAAAAGACTTAAAATGATAGAAGTCCCCTTGTTATGTGAAAGCATGTGCCAAAGTTCTTTGCTGAATCTGTTGCTGTTATACTGCAGAAATATTTTTTTTTCTGTGGGTAGTATAAGCAGAATAAAGATAAGGATTTAACGAATGGGGAGTTTCTGCTTACTTGCAAACTTCCTTGTTGATAAGAAGGTTATTTTTTTTTTAATAGCACCCCCTCAAAAGCAATAAGTATCTAGGCATTTAACTTTTTAGAATAAGAGCAACTGTTGCAATTTAGATTTGCAGTGTTCAGCCTTTGCAAAAAATAGATGTTTGAAAGGGCATTCCAGGTCTTCTGGACTGATTTGCATTCAGTGGGAAGTTGATCTACCACTAGCAGTATTTTTTAGGAGGTTAAAAATGACTGTGTAGCACATGTGTAAAGAACAGAATTGATTACATTTCTGTCCTTCTCTTAGGCACAAATATGTAACCATCATTGAAATACCTTAGCCTGTTTTGTCCATTTTGTGTGGTAGTCCTATTTATCCCGGACCTAGAGGCCTATGTGTTTGGAGACTTGGTGTAGTATTGCTTCCTAATGCTTCTATCAACTTTTCTCTGCCTATTATGTGAAAAATATGAAGGTATGCCATGGTTTGGTACTCTTGTTTCTTTTTCAGTGGACCTGTGTGATGTATATTGCATTTCGAACTGATGGCTAAGAGCTTAGATGAAATTTGAATATTATGGTCAAATCCATTCATCTGGATTATTGTTTAGGAATGTAAGTGTTGCTGTTTATTGTTTTACAGCATACCTAAATGATTGCAATTTTTCTGTTGTATTGGAAAAAAACCCCTTGTTTGGGGAGAAATATTTTGTAATACAAGCTTCTGAACTCAGTTCACATATAAGAAAGCTTTACAGGAAAGTTTAAAAAAAGTTTTAACCAAACAGTGTTAAAAAAGATAGGGAGGAAAAGTGGTAGTTGTGCTCTGGTACTTATCACATATGCATCATAAATTTGTACTGAGATACAATACATAATATTTTGAGTGTATGTGATGTACTGATAATTATCTGAAATGAGAGGGCTCGGAGGAGTTGGGAATAGCAAGGGAGATAATGAATTAAGTCTTATTTGAAATTAGCAGGCAGTATTATGGCTTAATTCAAATTCTACCATACATGCAGAAAAATACAAACCACACATAACAAACAAAAATATTCAGCAAGCAATGATGAAAATAATCAATTATTTACTGTTTTTTGTAATGTTAAAATATTTCACCAAGGCAAGTTGCAGTCAAAAGTAATGTGAGTTATTTTGAAAATGGCAATACATAAAGATGCATTTATACAAGTGCAAGACTAAATATTTTACATAACTGTATTTTAATGAGAAGATATACAGTAAGTGCACACTTGATAACACTAAGCAGGCAAAACTTAACGTTAGTTCCATATACTGTTGTAGTTCATGCACAGATCTTTCCCAAAGTAAAGAGGCTGTTCCAAATAATTCTTGCTGGGATGAAAAACGGGATGGGTTGCTGGTAAGGGTGCTCAGCATGGATGGGGGTCAGTTATAGACATTACTTACTGTAATTTGTGATTGCCGTGGAAGAGGAGTGGCTGTTGGTGTGATAGTAATACTGCTGGTGATTTTATTGGTGGGCTTAGTGGGTAGGCCATTGGCTAGTGCTGGAGTTCTGTTGTCTTGCACTGGACTACAAGGGCTGATGGGCTTGGAATTGGTGAGAGCTTGGACGTAAGGACTTCCTAAATGAATGTGGATTTTGTTATCCTCAGTAGTTATGACACTTGATCCTGTACTGTTAGATCTCTGAAACTGCCATGATGACTGCCTGTCTGGGGATACTCTAAAAACAGCGTGCTTGGCTCCCATTTCCAAAGGCTCCGGGGAGAGAGTTTGTTCCTGAGAACTTGAGCCGGGTAGAGCCAAAGGGGACATTGTTCTTTCAGGAGTTAAAGAACCACACGATTCAGGCGTTTGAGATCTTGCAAAAGTAGTCATAGTAATAGGAGAAATTACGTGCTCTGGAGTCACGTAACCTTCTCCTGCTTTCGATTTTACAGGTGTTAAGGAGGCGTTTTGAATAATGGTTATTCTTTGCTTTGGAGTGCCACAGTTGGGTATAACCGCTGTGCTTTTGTAGGAGTGAGGGCTTTCAGTGGTAGGACTAGTTATTTCAAGGGTTGCTGTGTTCTGTCCATGGTCTGGAGTTACTTTTATGTGAAGAGGTTGGCCAGGTGTATGGCTTAGCACTAGATCTCCAGTCTGTGCACAGTTTCCATTTTGCTTTGTATGTATCTTTCCATTTTGAGGATGGCTCTCTTTGGACTTCATCCACGGGATCCATAATTTTTTGTTTATGGCATTGACAGTGGATGAGTTGCTTTTGAAAGACACTGTTTGTTCCTCCTCATTATTGCCTTTGTCCTCATTATCACTGTCTTCATAGAGCTGCCCATTTATGACTCGCTCTAAAGGCATGAGCGTTTTGTAATCGGGTGGTTCATTGTCTGCTGGATCTGTTTGGATTTCTTTAGAAAAAACTTGCACATCAGAAATTCTCCTTCCATTGTGACCAGACCTGAAGTTCTTGCTGAAGGATCTGTACCTCTCCAACTCTTTCCTGAGGCTTTCCATCTCTCTCGCTAAGTCCCTGTTCTTGTTTTCTTGCTGGAGAAGTTTCCTCTGTAAGACTGAATGATCACCTCGGAGGTGGCAGATTAGGTCTTCTGTTTCCATGTACTCATGCATTTTTTCTTTCAGTGCATCAACTTCTCTGGAAAGATGACTGGATTTAGCTTCCTCTTCTTTAAGCTTCTTAAAAAGGCGCTGCTCCTGATTGGACTCTGCCTTTTCTGTTAATTTATACCTAGCCATTTCCATTTTCACAGCTTCCAGCTCCTCTGATAGGAGCTTGGCTCTGTCCCGTTCATTGACATATTTTCGTTCTAGACACTCAAATTCATCTTCAGTTTTCATAAGGTCATCCTCTATGGCCTTCATTTCTTTGAGCTTCTGCTTAAGCCTCTCAACTTCTTGAGAAAGCTCTTTGATTATGTTGTTTTCCTGCTGCAAGGAGGTGCTAGATTTAGTACCATCCTTAAGTTTACTTTTAAGAAACTCTTTTTCAATGTCTTCCAGTGATTGGAGTCTTTTTCTTAGAATATTCACTTTGGAAACAAGATCACTTCCTTTCTCCTCTTCTGCTTTGAGTTTGTTTTTCAGTTCATCTCTTTCTTTTGTCACACTGGACATTTTTTCCTCTGCATCGGATTTTGATTTCAGTGCCTTTTTACTTTCCTCAATTAGTTTTTCTGTAACTGACATCACTTTATTTTGTTCCACCTGAAGCTGAGAAGTTGCAGCTTGAAGCTTTTCTTCTGTTTGCTTTATTTTTTCTCCCATCGTTTTTCTTTCATCCACAAGCATCACTGTTAGGCTTTTCAGCTTTGTCAAATCTTCTTTGAGTGTAAACTCAGTTTTTTCTAACTTACTTTCAATTGCTTCAAGCTCACCAACTCTAGCTTTTAAACCATCCAGCTCGTGGGACAGCTGCTTTGTTAACATTTTTTCCCTTTCTAGATTGCATTTCAGGGAGTAACATTCCTGTTTACTCTTGTTGAAAGCGTCTTCTAGTTTCTCCAGCTCCATAATTCTTTTGTTAAGTTTATCGACTTCCCCTTTGAGGTTCTTGCTCTGTGATGCTTCTTTTTCTAATTTTTTATTAAGCTCTCTGCACTGATCTTCCATTTTTATGAGCTCTTCATCTTTTCCTTCCATCTCCAGCAGTCGTTTCCGTAGTTCTTCTACTTCAGTCATAAGTGTGGCATTGCCACACTCTCCCTTATTTATCTTATCCCTTAGGTCTTGCAGTTCTTCTTCTGCTTTTCGTAGAGATTTGTTGGTCTCTTCCAGCTCATCAATTTGTCTGCTGAGAGCAGTTAATTTCAACCGGAGCTGGCGATTCTGACTGTCTTCGTTGGTTAGTTTGGCCATCATTGCTTCTTGGTCTTGGGAAATCTTACTGCTTTGGGCTTGAAGTTCAGCCTCCAGCCTGCTGGCTCTCTGTTTCTCTTCTTGAATTTTTGCTTCAGCAAAAGCCAGTTTCTCATGTGCTTGCTCTGTAGAAGTGGTTAATTCTTGAATTTTTTTACTTTGTTGATTCAACTGCTCAGTGAGTCTTTGCTGTTCATCCACCACCATTAAAGCAAAGGATTTCAGTTTAGTTAATTCTTCTTTCAGTTTAGCTATTTTCTTGTTGTTTTCCTTCTCTTTTTTTGCTTGATATACTGTTTCTTGTTCAAGAAGCTTTTTCAATCTGTGGGAGGAAAAAATATTGTATTTTGTAGCCATTTTAATGGGCATTTAAAAACACATTTGAAATATTATGACATGCCAGATGTGCATGTCCACTTTAACTGCATGTGCACTTGTAACTACAAGCAGACCTCTCCTTGCAGCATCATTTGGAAGTGCCCACTGACCATGCTTTCTATTCAGAAGTTCTTTTGTAATGAACATTCATTTGGACTTAGCAGCTTCAGTAATTCTGCATCTTTGATTACATTTTTAACTTTTGACAGGTGGCAGTGGAACAAAACTATTTAGTATTCTGCACTGGAACTGCACTTACCTTGACTGTTTGCTGAGGCTAGGTATGTGCAAAGAAATGTGATCATTATAGAGTTTGAGAAATCAAATCAGTGCAGTCCTCAAGGGCAGGCATAATTTACAGCATCATCAACCTCCTAACTTCGTTACTTATAAACCATCCTGATGTTTTATGATTAAACCTTGTAGATGTTCAAGTAGGTGAAGGAAATGTAGCCACATTAGGCAGTTAGTCAGGCTAATGTGAATTTGTAAGCAGCACATCAGACCAAAATTAAACCATGCAGGTAAGTCAGTCCTCAGTGAAAATGCAGTATCTGACCCTGTATCAAACATACACACACAAAAATACAGTCAGCAGATAAACAGGTGTCCAGGTTGTGCCTTGTGAACTTAACAAAGCCCAAATGTCTTGATGTTAGTTAGGCTTGACTTCAGTCTTTTGTCCAAAGCTTGCAGATATGCTTAAGTGTAACCCTGCTTTTACATGATTCTTGAAGATTTTCATGACGATTTTCCAAAATTAGTTTTACAAGTTTATGTTGCATCACAATAAAGACTGAGGATTAACATATTTAATTTGCTAGAGACTTGGGATAAGGTTGTGCATTTGTTTAAACCTCCAAATACCTCAAGTAATTAGGTTCTTTTGTAGGCTTTCCTTTGTCAGGGAGATGTTTGTGAAGAAGTTGACCTAAAGTATGATTAGGTTTGTCCAGCACATATGCCTCCTTTCAATTACATTTTTCCTACAACCAACCTATAGGTATATTCTGGTATTAAACAAAAATCTGAAAAGCCGAGGTGGAAGTAATAAAGTATTAGAATTTGTATGTCTCACTGTTGTTCATATGTATGGTACAGATTGAGTTGTGTAGATCATGTGAGGGAAATGACCTGCGTTATCAGGACTGTGCTAGTACAAAATGAATATTTCAGCACTCATTAGCTGAGGCCCCTTTGTTTTTCCCCCTCTGAAATATGATGACAACTGTCTAGAAGTTGCTGCTGAAACGTAAGATTCCTGTCCCACATTTGTCTACGGTCACTATTGTGATGCCCTTGTCCAAGAGATGAGTCTTTACAGCTTCCCACTGACAAGTTCTTGTTGCAGCCATCCTTTTAGTTCAGGAAGAGCTTAGATAACAGCCTCCTTTGCACAGCTCTTAATTAGCTGTTGACTGACTGGAGGCATATATTTCTGGGCAACAGACTGCCTCAGCAGCATCCCCTTTGCCAGCATTGTGGTTTTCCAGCACAGAGAGGGGAAGTCCTTGCTATTCTACAACTGTCCATCAGACTTGTCCGATTTAATGATGATATTGTATAGAAGTCCATGGCTATAAAATTTCTTAAAAGATCTTCACAGTCCCTGCTGTTTTTATTTTAGGGCCTAAGTTGCACTGCCTTGAATGTAATGAAATGCTTTATATGAAAAATTGACAGGATAGAACATAGCCATAAGCAGAGTTGAAATCAAAGACTTGAAGCAGTCACATATTCTTTGTAACAGTCAATTAACATAATGGGGAAAACAGACATGAAAAAGCAGAAATGTAAGGGGAGAAGTTTTCAAAGTTAGTTTGAAGGAATGCTACTGGTTGGCAGAACAAATAAATGGGGAGAGGACTGCATGAACTTCAAAGGCAGCTTTTTACTGTGTTGATGGTATATAAACTTCTGTCCACTTTTCAGTGCTACTTTCAGTTTGAATTCTTTTTAGTTTAAAAATCTCTCTTCTCTCCCCACCCTTGTCTCTAAATGCTTTAGTAGTGAAGTTCAATTGATGATTTACTGTTGCCATAGATATAAAACCATAACAGAAGCACAACTAACAATTTCATTTGGAATTAACTCAGGTTTTGTGTGTGTTTGAAGTTAAGACATATTAATACTGTTACTGGGACTTATTAGCATTTGATTTATTTTAGCTTGCTTCAGTAAAATTTGTTTTTGTAAGGCAAATTTATCTGTGGTCATTAATACTTAGGTTAATCAGTGTTTAACCCAACATTTCTATATTAACTAGTTAATACCTCTCTAGCCAAGTGAAACTCTAATGCTCCAGTAACTCATGCCTCTTAAATTGCTTTAGAAAGAAAGCCCTTAGGTCAAATAGTAACAAACAATTGTAATTTTCATGGGGATGCTATATATATTTTTTAATGCAAATAAGATGATTGTGGATACATAATAAATTTTAAGTTGACACTCAGGTCAAGTCTGATCAAGTCTGTGTTGCTTGGGCAATTTGAACAAAATGCCTAAATTACTGGTACCTGGATTGTTGTATAAACTGATAAGGATTTTCAAGAGATTCAGTTTCTTTGGTCATGCCAAAAGACTTCAGGTATTTAAAAAATGTTTCCTTCATTCAAAAGATAAAATGCAGTTTTAAGATAAAAGTCTGTTTTAAGAGAACAGACTCTCAAGCAAATATGTGTAATCCCTGAGGTCTGTTTCATTTTTTAAAAAATACTTGTGTAAGATCACTTGACTGAGGTTAAGAGCATAGTGCAGAAGCTGTGAGTTAAAGGGTTTTAATGTGTTTCCAAAAAAAAAAGGGATGGATTAAGCATGGTATATTTTTTGCTACTGTGTTATTAAGTTTTTGCATTTGTTTTTGGTAATATCTATAGCTATACATAAAATACCTCAACAGTGCCAAATAGGTAGTGATTTCTCGGATAGAGTTGAGATTGATATTGAAAAAAGCCAACTGGGCGTCTTTTAATATTTGTAGAAGAGTTTTTCCTTGACTGCTGAATTCCTCTTTCATAGTTCAGTAGGTCACAATGTCTGTCTCTGCACATATGCACTTAGGAATGGAAGAGGACCCTAAAATGTTTGGAGGAGTTGGTGTTATTTATTTGTTTGCTTGTGTTCTTAAATTAATTGCTTAGTTTTGGTAAGTTGTTTTTTTTTTTTTGCCAGCTTTTTTTTTGGGAACCTGACTACTGTGGGCGAATGCTTGATGATGTATATTATTTGAATTAAGCAAATTGCAAGCTTAATTGAAGAAGTTCTTTAACTGATTATAGCACAAAGTGACTTTTATCACAGGATAAAAATACTTTGTGTTAACTTCATCCAAAATACTCTTTCTGAAGAAGACTAGTATCCAGAGTATTTGACAGAGCAATTTTACTAAAAATATGCAAAGGTTGAAAAAGCTGGCTTAAATAAATAATAATTTTACAAAAAGAACAGGCACTCCACTGTCATTTTCATTGCCAGTTGAATTTCGTCATCATGTAATTTAATATGAGGCAAAGGTGGGTATAATCATTTGGTCAAAGCTTTCACACAATTCTAAGCAGCTGACTTCGCAGGACTACAAGAACCCTTTCTGAATTGGGCCCAGCAAAAATGGACATTGGAAATTGTTTTTATGAACATGACTGTTTGGTAGTTAAGCAGAGTCAGGGCATTGTCATTACTTTTTCTTCAGAGTTTCTGTTATAAATTATTGCTTTATTGTGGCTTAATATTGTACTTATTTGTAATACCAGTTGACTGCTTCTTTATTTCCTGAAAGAAATTGTATTTCTCAGCTCTCCTCAGTTCATTGTAATTGTTTTCCTCAGGATGCATCCTGCAGCTTCTTGGTGTTAAGGTCATGCATTCAGTTGTGTTCCATGTTTTTTTCCAAGTGCATATAGCTTCAGCTACACTACATTACATTTGGCAACATGATTGTGTTCTCTACAAGATGTGGAGACTCCCATAACAGTTCACTGTCCTGGCATCATGTGATGACATTTTGTCTTTAAGTGGCATTATCCATTTTCTGGGTGACGTTTATTACATGGGTGTTGTTTAATTTATGTCTTTACAGGATTCTAAGAGGGCTGCTTTTCCTTTGAGTTTCGTGGAAACCAAAGAAAGCATGGGAGACTGAGATTGCAAGACTTATTTTTTATTTGTTTTAGTTTGTTCTGGAATGAATCATTATTCTCTGAATAATAAGAATAAAAATGATTTAAGCAATGTCGTAGTGATAACTTTAGAAAAGACTACATTCTGTAAGGATGCAAGTAAAATAGGTGATGGCTTGTAAAGCTCTGCTTTTATCATTCCTTCCATCAAATGAGTTTTTAATATACACATTATCAATATTTGTATGCGATCATTCTACAAGAATGACTGCGATTTTTAATTTCTGTGATTTTTTTTTTTAAATCATAAAGATACATATTTTTAACTGGCTCTTGCTCTTCATCCTTCCCCATATAAGAGACATGGTTTACTAGAGGCTTTACAGGTTATAACATGAGGGAGACTTGCTTCTAAAGTTTTTGGCCATATACTTGAGTTTCCCTGGTACAATGCAAATAAAAGCACTAAGCTGAAAGCTTTTAAATGTAGATGAAGTCATGCCTCTTCCTTTGAGGCATTCTTCCCAGTTAGCAGTAAGATGTGGTCTGGCCCTTAATAAGAGAAGAAACATGCTTCATCATTTCTGGTAAATCTTACAAGTTGTTGTAATTTTTTGACACCAGTGCAGTTAAATATTTATTTTTGTAAGAAAGCCAGTCTGTGCCTTCCACAGTTTATTGAAACAAAATTTGGATTTGTTAAAATGTTTCTGGGTTTGGGGTGGCTATGCATTTTTTAAATTTTTTTATTTTCCTTTGCCTACAGTTCTACTTATTGATGTGCAGTTTTTATGAAGACATATGCTACAGCTTTTTTATGGCTCTCTAT